CTCTCTCTCTCTCTCTCTCTCTCTCTCTCTCCCTCTCTCTCTCTCTCTCCCTCTCTCTCTCTCACTCAAGCGCTCTCTCTCTCTCTCTCCCTCTCTCTCACGCGCTCTGCTCTGCCACACAGCGCTGGCCCGTCCTGACCCAGGAAACAGCTCAGCGTCGAGAGACATACTATCAAGCGCCCCCTCTGGCCACAAAGGCCATTCTTGCATTCTTGAGTCATGAATGGAGCCAGATCGGCCTCAAAAATAATACATTTATAAAACAAAATCCGATTCGTAAATTCCCCCCCAAAAAAACAAAAGCATCTTACCTAAATAAATTTAAAATGTTTACACAAATATGTATATATCAAGTTCTTGAATTAATTTTCATCACAGATATATGAATGATGTTACATGTATTTATGGATCGTTGAATCTGCATTTGCAAATCATCACACATGCGTGGACTATTTTGAATTTGTGTTTGGTATTTTTGAGACCTTCCTGGCAGGTTATGATTCATAAATATCTTTTTTTGGAGGATGTTCCGTTCAGCCAACGCGGTGAGCTTTTAATCCACCAATCAAAACACTCTTTACTGAACAGACTCAAGAAGCTCAACGCTTTGGTTTATGAGTTGAGTTTTGAATTTAAGAATTGGATTTTGTAAATGTAAATTGTGCTGTGAATTTATGAATTTTGTTTTATAAATGTATTATTTTTGAGGCCGATCTGGCTCCATACTCATTACCCAGTCCAGTCCAAACACTAACAAAAAAGTATTTTGTTCTTTGAAGTACCTTGTATTTCCATGTAAATACCACGAACGGTAATCATTCAGTACCATGATATGAAGAATTCTGTATCAAATTACATGGTATTACAATCTGAAAAGTTATTAGTTTTATTTGCTTTTTCATTTTAATGCTACTACAGACTGCATATAAAATTTTACACTGTAATAAGAGCAATGTGCAGTCTAAAATCATTTAGAATTTGTGATAAAAAAGAAAGTGTCAGGCATTACACACAGGAGTTTTGGCATATAATGTTAATACACCGATCTTTGTAGTACCAAAAATCGCTTTGCATCTTAAAATATACTCATAAGCAAAATTATATTAGAACAGAATAGTAGAACAAGATTAATTAAATTTCATGAGCAATGTCTTGACGGAGTATAATACACACACAAACACAAAACACCATCAGAGTAATAATGTAAATAATTGTGCAAAAGTAATAAAGAACATAAATTTAGCCAAAATATAATCCAGTGTGATGTGTCACACAGG